ATCACTTTCCAGGACTGCACCCGGTACCAACTCAATGCTGGGTACTACCTGTGAGCAAAGGTCATTTTTGATAAAAAATTTCAGCTTCATCAGGACCCGAACCCACGATCTTTCGATCCGCAGGCGAGTGTCCAGCCACAACACCACGGCGATACATACATACACACATCTATCCATGCATGCATGCGTGCACGCACGCACGCACCCAGGCATACATACTTACACGCACGCGCACGCACGCACGCACACACGCGCGCGCACACACACACATACATGTCATGATGTTTTCCAATGCCTCTCTTCTCATTATGTGGCCAAAGAACAGTGTTTGCCTCCTTCTAATTGTTGTATAAAGAGATCTAATTGTATTAGCTTCTTTCAAACAATCATTTTTAGTTACTCTGGCCGTCCAAGATATTCGTAACATTAGTCTCAGAAACCAAATTCTTCTCAATTTGTTCACGGAAATGTCCAAGATTCGCTGTCATACAGGAGAACAGGTTCTATGTAACATTTTTGTACTAAGAAGAATACTTGGCATTAAGTGGCAATACAAAGTCACAAACGCTGAGGTTTTTGGAAAGAGCAAGTATAACAGCAATTTTCTCAATGCTCGGTCTCCGAAGGCTCAGGTGGCTGGTCCCACTGGAGAATGAAGAATTAGACTTCCTAGGGACATCCTCTATGGGGAATTACATATTTGTAGATAATGTCGATTTCGGCCTCTGCTACGACATAAAGATGCGTGCAAGCGGGACATGAATGATACAGGCATTAAGGTAGATTCATGGCAACAAAGACCGTGTTGCGTGAACAAAAAAAGGGAGGGGTGTGAAGGGGGAATGACTGCAGAAAAGATGAGAGCTGGGCGTCTGAGAAAACGCACACTAAGGACATGTGATATCAACAAGGTTCCTAAATATCATTTACTCTAACTGTGAAATATTTTTTTCTTTTTTAAAGCGGGCAGGTCTTGCTAGTAACACTCACGACCTGTCATCAGTACATGCCTCCTCATAGTAGAATATAACACTAACGTCTGGAAAGACGCCAACGAAACAAGAATTATAAGCATTGATCAAAATATCAAGTTGCATTGACATTACGTTTTCCTTTCTCTCATTTAATTTTATGTCATAGTTTCAAAATTTCCAGTCATAGGTTACCTTGACCTATTACACCCTGATATTTGTTGGCACTACGCCAAAGCACACAATTTACTCAATCCTTGTTTTGATGAAATAGCGTTTGAACATTAAAATCAGATGACCATTTGGTGAATATCACAGTAAACGGAATGATATTAGAAAACGTAAAAAGTTTATCGTGTCTTGGATACGTAGTAACAGATGCTGACAAAAGCAAAAGAAAAATCGTAAAGATAATAGAAATGGCTAACTATCTTCAGTAAGATTCGCAAATACTGGGACAGCTAGAGAGATAAACAACTCACTAAAACACATAAAAAAATGCCTAGCAATAATAAATTACCGAGACTGCTATTTGGACTGGTTTATTTCACTATAGCAGAAGTCACCAGTTCTGTGTGCCAGGTACACAATGATATTGGGCATTATTTACTATACTACAAGAAATATGAACCCCAAAGGACTCCCACAATGAATATATAATCTGCTGCAATATGCTTATGAGAACTGAAAACATGTTGGGAGTTGATGATTCTAGAGAACTAAACGAAAAAATTAAACAGTATATAACAAGATCAGGGATTCGCATATGAGATGTTAATATATATTAAGGCAGAATAATGGTATCCCATATCAATTTTAAAGATGCGCAAAGATAGACTAAAGAGTATAATTAATATCAATTTTTGAAAGCCCAAGTACAATATGTTGAATGTGACAACCTGTAGATCTACAATCTAATACACTTAATGCACAAGGTATGCGATATTGCAAAAACAAATATAATCGGTAGACATAAATATACACGTATTAAGTACCTTAAAGGACATGAGAAATTAATCCACCTAACGACAAAACAAATCTACACTAACCTAATACAAGAAGTAGCACCACCCCTCCACCTTAGAAAAAAAAATGGACAACCCTTCCCTATAACCAACCATTTTTTATCCTTCAAAAACATACACAAACCCTACATTAAACCGATAGGAAAAGAAATTACTTACAGATTACTTTTTAATCTTTCCCCAACCACAGAAACAACAGCAAAAAGACTCAAAAAATTACTCCCCTGTAAATTATGTAACAAAAATGAACAAGAAACAGAAGAACACATCTTTTATACATGCACAGCAATACAGCGAACACTCAAACACTTAGAAACAGTCACAAATCTCTACATTAAAACACAGATTGATGTATATAGAGCCATATTTCTAAACACTCTACCACAACTAACCAAACTAGATGAAACCAGATTACTGTCTGCACTTGCAGAATATCGTGTCTTGATCTGGTTTACTAGATGCAATGTTGTGTTTCATAGACAAACATTATCTGAAGAAAATTTAGCCGAAAGATTCCATTACATTATGATGAGATTATTTGACCCAGACTAGGAACAATCTCCCCTCCCCCCCCCCCCCCCCCCCTGCTTTGTTTTTGTGTTGCCTTGTTTCCTTTCTCCCCCCCCCCCCCTTTTTTTTTGCTGTCTTGTGTTGCATACCACTGTCTTAAAGGAAGTGCCCCCCCCCTTTTTTCACTGTCATCTGATTCATTAATATGACTCCTATGTAAACATTCCTATGTAAACATTACTCATAATTTGGGCACCTTGTGTCCATAAACAGATATGAGATGTAAATAAGAGCGGCTCCAGACCTTGCGCATTGCGTTGGTTGAGTCGAAATGGTTTTGTAATATAAATATATATCATGTTATTGATGCCTGTATAGAACCTTCTTGAGATCCACTCCAAGAACACACACTTCTACGATTACCAAGCCATTAAATTCCCTGCAAGATGGCGTCCAAGATCATATGGAAGATCCAAAAATATTAACCCCTAACCCTCTTTTGGTACCAAGACTTGGACTTCCAATTATTGCCCCAGACCTCACCACACAACTGCCAAATATGAAAATATATAAAGTATTATAAGTTTCATGCTTCAACATGCTCCTCAATACCTCATTCTCTCCCACCTTTATCTCCCTCTTTCTCTCGTATCTCCCTCGCTCTCTCTCTCTCTCTCTCTCTCTCTCTCTCTCTTTCCCTGCGCTTTCCACTACCCTTCTCCTCATAATCTCCATACTATCCCTTAAACCCAACTGTCTAGAACTTCAACTCTCAACTCACCAACTAATGTCAATGTAAAAATGTAGATATTTTTTGCGCACACACTTGCACCACCAATACTCACACATGGCAACATATGTATAGAACACTAAACAAGATACGCACATCGCAGACGCCTGTATATTATTAAATACGTACAATACGGAAACCACACAACCTTGTACACAGACTCATTTTAACACTCAATAAAATTGATTTGAAACTTTAAAAAAAAAAAAAAAATGGAGAAAAAACACCTTTATATATCCCAGTTATAACCCGGATAGATTGAATGGGACATTGTTGTTTAAATTACTACTAACACTTTGAAAATGAGAATGGTTAAATGTTATGTAATACTCAACCTTGCCGCATGGTTCAGAAACTTGTACAATGAACAAGCATAGCTGCGATCTGCATACCCTCTAGTTTGTCCATCTGACGGCATAAAATAAGCAACTAGAAAATCCAACTGAATCCCTGAAAATGTGGATATACAGAACAGGTCGTTTTTAATAGAAACACAAGGTCTAATAGAGAGATTCTGGAAAAATTGCGAATGAAATATATAATTACTGAAAGAAATTTAAAACAAAAGTACAATTAAAATACTTTAGCCACATTTAAAAACATATTACGAGTTTAAAAACCATTCTGAAAGGATATATTGAGGACAAGACAGTAAGAGTTAGACAAAGATACAAGCTGAAGGACAACATCAAGATATGGACGCACAGCAGTCTTGAGAGTGTGCAACCAAGACCGGCTCTTGGTGTAACCCTTATAAGAGATAGAGCGTGTTGGAAATCCTTTGCGCCCGGCTCTCTAGCGTAGTTGGCTAAACCTGATTTCGCGGTGACCGGTTGACGAACTCCCTGTGGTCTGGGTTCACTCCGAAGAGTAGGCAGAAAAGCCACATTTCTCCTAGATTTACGGCATTTATCATAAAATCAAGGCCGAAGGCACAAGATGATTACCATATTATGGACAGACCAGAGCAAGTCATTATCCCTCGCCTTAGAACAGGGCACAATCGACTTCGCCCCCACATGTACAACAAATTTAAGATTGGCCAATCAGCCATGTGTACTTGTGGACTGGCACCTGAAACAACAGATCACATCCTTCAAGACTGTCCCAGATTCAACGCTTTCAGGCAAAACCTTTGGCCAAAAGAGACACTTGTGGAAGTCAAACTTTACGGGCCGCTTAGTGAATTACAAAAGACAGTGAAATTCATACTAGAGACAGCTTTGCAGATATAGACAATTTATTTCATGCGAACGAGAGAGAAGAAGAAGAAGGCCGAAGGGTTGCGATATTCAAAGTACCGAGCCAAAGGGTTAAGAACTCATGGTTTCTGGTCCTTTGAAGCCTACATTCTGTGTGGAGAAGTCACTTAATGGAGATGAGATAATTTTGTACTAAGGTAAAACATAATATATTATTTTAACATGTTTGAAATAAGAATTAGTATATATGCCTAAGGCCTGTTGAAGAGAGAAAGTCTAAAAATGCATTAAGTAAAAATTACCAAAGTTGCACTTGCTGCTAACCCAATCGCTGTGAAATTTTCTTCCACTGATTTCGCACGTTAGTCGTTAACCGTGTTGATAGACAATTAAAAAAGTAGGTCACAAAATTGTTTACAAATCCCACTGAGAAAACACGTGTGTGAACATCTCGTGTGTGCAGTTGTTATTGTCGCATTTGTATTTTAACCAGACGTTGATCATGGGAAAAGTAAAGAAACAGAAGAGACATCAGAAGTTCCAATATGACAAGGATAGAAAAAAAAATTGGAAAAAAGCAAAGGGAATGCCAACAATACAATGGTAAGAAATTAATTTGTAATTGTTACCAGTTATCGATAATGCTTTTTTCTGTTTTGACCGTTTTTAAAATACAAAGTAATGTACATTAGTATTTAGTACACAACAAAACTGAAACATCGCTAGCTAGCTTTTTTGGGCACGTGGTGACATATGATTCGATTGCAAAAACTGTACATCAAGGAACTTAGGGGGGTAGAGAAGAGGGGGGGCAAAGAAGAATCTGAGATTGCAACATCAGAGTTAAGAACACGTGACTGAGGCCCTGTTAGGGTAAATCATACACTTGTTCAGCATGCGGAAGGCACATACTTTACATTTCTGCTTGTTTCTACTTATTTGCTCTAAAAGAGAGCAAAGTGCTAACGTTGCACAGCAGCAGAATGTTTTTTTAAACTAGTTTTAAAGGTCTAAGATAGTGATACTATCACATAGCAACTTTGGTCAAATTTTCAAAATCGTTTTATCTTCATAAAACAAGTACAGCTGTATCGGTATTGAAAAACCCTTTCCAACGGTGCCTCTTTCATGCCTCTATGTCAAGTCTAAGCAGAGTTATTGAAGTTTTTGTGGAAAAAGTTAACAAAGAAGAAAATATAAAAGTGAGCTGAAACTTGCTGCCCAGAAATCAGAAGTTTTAGAGCAGTGTTTAAAAACTGCTTTAACGTATAAAGTATTTAAAAAAGACACTAGAAACTATATATTTTTGGATTCAGGGCAACAAGCTTTAACCGAATAAACATAAAATTTTTAGTAGTTACGCAATATCGACTAATAATTATTCAAAATGGCCGCCATTTATCATAATCATCAGTCGATATGTTCTCGTAAACTTTATAACGGTCTTTTAAAGTATTAAAAATAGACCAAAGATAACAGACTGTTGTGTTCAGGGCAGCAATGTCTAACTGAATAACTGAAAATTTTTAGGTATTACATCATATCGACTAATATTATTTAAAAATGGCCGCCAATTATCATGAAAAAATATTTTAATTAAAAAAAATTTTGATGTTTTTTTTTTTTTGTTATATGGGAAAACTATTTGCTGTGGGTATATTATATATATCCAGAGCAAATTTTTTCTCACCTTGATAGAACAATCATGTATGTCATATGATAATTTTGATTTGATACTTTAAATCATGCTCTCTGATCAGTTATTTTTCAATATGGTGTCTAATTTATATTTTTGTTGTTGAATGGTGGAGTCTGAACAGAACAATCAACAAGCCATCAACATATCTGTGCATTAATCTTTATTGTCTATGTATATGTTAATCTGTTTATTAATCACCAATGCCGCTCTTCTCGTAACATGACTAAAAGAAGTTTGTATCTTTCTCACAGGTTTACGTCATGGTAAAAGTCTGGAAAAAAAAGGAAAAAAAATTAGTGAAATAATGCATATTCAAATAATGCAGTAGTCATTTAAAAAACAATTTTTTTAAATGATAGTGCAACAATACATCAGAAAAAAGTCTCCGTCAAAATGTTTGTACGACTTACCTTTTTTCACTCGTCCATGTTTAAAAAGCTGACAGTTCTGTAATCATGAAAGCCTGAAAAAGAAAAAAAGTTACTATAAATAACATATATATATACACACAAACAATTCAATATAACATTTTAAAACAACAATTTCATTAATTGTGCAACAATACATCAGAAAAAGAATTAGCCACAAATGTTTGTACGACTTACCTTTTTCACTCGTCCATGATTAAAAAGCTGACAGTTCTGTAATCATGGAAGCAGTTTGACCAAAGTCTTGATACCTGCCAAAATATTGCCAACTGCTGCATGTATTTGCCACTTTTGCTGGGGTCTGTAAGCCTGAGTATTTAGGACAACATGACGGCTATCCTCCAAATAATGGTCCTAAATTATCGAGGTGGAAAATATACCCTAACAGGGCCTCAGTCACGTGTCAATTGCGCACTTCTGTTGTCTTAAATTGCCCGCTTCAGGCGACTTCTGCCACCGCTGAGTGTATACCCCATGCCGCGTGGATTGGGGCTAAACTAGATACTAGATGGCTAGGACTCACGAGCAGCAGCTACCGCATCTCCTGCAGCTTCCTTCATTTTGTTTGCTCGTGAGTCCTAGCTATCTAGTTTGGCCCCAATCCACGCCGCTCTTGCGGCGTGGGTATTTATCTTGGCGGTGGCGGAAGTTTGCAATTTGGCGGTGGCGTTATTATAGTACCCGGAAGTGCGCAATTGACACGTGACTGAGGCCCTGTTAGGGTATATTTTCCGCCTCGATAATTTAGGACCGTTATTCGGAGGATAGCCCAACATGGCTAACGCAGTTTGGTTTTATTTTTACTAGTTACCCTTCTCCCCAACAGGAAACACCCATAAACTTACGGAGGATTTGAACCTGGGGGTCTCCCATATGTATGAGAACCTAGTGTTCCTAACTGTTCAGCCAGCTGCCCCTCAATTTAATTATCCTTATAACTTTTACACTAGAACCAATTCAGTCAGGCCTTGCTGTGTTTTGAACAGAGGTTTTGAACAAAACAAATCTACATCATGGCACACGGGTAGTAACCCATAAGTGCTCCGTTATTCTTCTGACTCGAATCCAAAGAAGCTCAGCACAGGCTCTGTAGGATCCTGAAATACTTTAGGTAGATTTTTAACTCCAAATTTTGCCCGGGCAACGCGGTTAGGCTACTTATTTTGATTTCCAACTGCCAGGAGATTTTTGTACGCGCGCAACTGCGCATGGGTGTCCGATCTCACTACCCAGAAACCAGGAGGAATTTCAACTAGAAGTCCACATGAAAAAATCCCAGCCCTTACCGGGGATTTAACCCAGAACCTCTAGCACTTGAGGCGCACACCATGCCCTATGACCACGCAGCTCCTGCCTTGCTGTGTTGAACATAAAAAAAATATTTTTCTTGTGATCAAGATTTACATCGATAGACAAATTTGTGTGATAAACTTGACTGTTTTTAAAAGATCCCTTTTAGCTCCGTGCAACCTTGAGTACAATTTTGGCACTCAGTAGGCTGTACAAGGTTCATTCTTGCAGAACATGTTCTGTAGTTGGCACAGGCAGCCTACATGGGCACAATGGTAAATTACTTAAATGAAGCCTGTGTAAATGCTTAAATTTGTTATGTTCTATCCTGTGGATAGAATAAGAATAATGATGAATAATCACCTACCCATGCCGGTCACGTCGTAAGTGGTAGTCACCTGTGGCCTGATTCTGTTCATCTCTAATAGACTGGATGGCCCTTTTGTTCTCAAAGTATGTTCCTGCATTCTCTTCCTGTTCACATTCTACCCCTTTCTTAGCAAGTTTATACATGGTTTTATTTCTTGGTATACCACAGTAGGATAGTACCCACAGGAGTACAGTATGATTTTGGGCAGCCACCTTGCAAAGTTCAGATCTCAGGTGAGGGAGTTTTCCACTCATGATGACTTGTAGCACCAATAGCACATCTGTAGTGTGATAGCACATCTGTAGTGTAAAGATGACTGATTGGTGGCACTCAGAACTGGTGTTTTGTAACATTTTCGCAGCCTGCTCTCTGGGATCTCTGTTGTATACTTGGAACATTATTACCAGCAGGTATATACTTTGTGTGGTGGTAGTTGTCTGGATGAGCGATCAAGATGCCAGCACCCCCATTTTTAACTGAACTGGTTGCTGAATCATCTGTGTAAGCATGTATTCACTACTGTTTGTGATAGTTTTCCTGGATCCCCGTTTTACCCCCCATGGACAAGGCTGCTTCACTTGAGACGCCCCAGTGCCAGATCATCTAATCTTGTTTTCATTGGGTGTGAATGCATACTATTAGATTTTTCCATCTGGATCATAGTTTTAGTGTCTCTTCTGTAGTATAGTGGCTGCATTTCAGTTATTCTCTATATCCCCAGGATTAGTGTAGTTTTCTTGGATCCCGTGATGAGTCTAAGGGTTTGATTGTGCACTCAGTCTAATGATTGTAGATAAGAATTATTAGCTGAAGCCCCACCCTGGCTGCTGCCAGGGGCCGCAATAACTTAACGGTTGAACGTGGGGTGTCATCCGCTATATCGCTCTTTGTGATGTCCTGGTGGGGTAAAATTGTCTTACACATCTATTGAATGCTGTGGTTGGTTTACAAAATTGCTGTGAGTAAATACATTTAACTAGTAAAAAAGAAACAGTTTTTATGATTAGTGAAATACTTGTTCCATTGCAGCGATGAAATCAAGAAAGCATGGGATGAAACAAAAAGTGTCAAGCGAAATCTTCGAGAAATGGGTATTGCTGCTGATTCTAACAAGACACTAAAAGTTCCCAGATCAAAGGTACTTTTTTCTTTGTAGTATTATTCATAACACAGACCAAATTGGTTGCCATGTTAATATTACAGGATGTTTTTAATAGATTTTCAGCATTGTTAGTTCCTTGCTGTATAGTCTCATGTCCCCTTTCAGCTAGTTTAAGAACATTTTATGTTAAAAATCTCTGTCATTGAAGAGTTGAAAAAAAAAAACCAGTTACAGCCAGTGTTAACGTGGCTGTGAATCTTAGACAATTGGTAAACAAGCGAGAAAGTTCCTTGAGGCTTCAGCGGTGTGGTTTAACAGAATGCCTATAATGCTTTGGTCAGCCAGAATGAGCAATCTAGATATTTTGAAAAAGGCTAAAACACATTGCAGGTATCAGAAGGAGGAGGCATTCATCATTTTTTAGGGGGGCCACATTTAAGAAAAGAAAAACGTACAGTATGTGACGCTGCTACATTAAAAAAAAATAAGATGAAGATAATGAGAATATTCTTAAATGCCCTTTGTCCTGGCATGGAGAGGTGTCGGTCACACAAACTGATATATGCTGTTGATCAGTCACAAGATGTGGAGAAACATGATCATATATGCCTGTCAACAAGGTAAAAGGGTTAAGAGCAGAGGCATTTGAGTTACTGTAGATGTTTATCTTAGAAAGATCTTGCATGGCCTTTTATTTCTTCTTCCTGTTTTCATTTTCCCGCTTTTTGTTTTCAGATAAGGAATGCCACAGGCTTCTATGAAGGCTGTGGTGAGATGCATCTTCTCCACTGATCCTTTCAGCTTGAACTTTCAGTTTAGAATGGACTGACCAGACCTGGAATTTTTCTACTGTATAAAGGTCATGTCTGCAGGACATATTCAGTATTCTGGCACCTGTTCATATGAGGTGGTTGATAGATGGGAAGTGTTCCACTCGGTTCTAATGGCTGCCTTGATCTTGGTTCTGATTTTCTCTTAGGCCATCCACATTGCTATTCTGATTGCTCTCAAGTGCCGACTAAGCAAAAATTGGAGTCATTTCAAAACCTTTTATTAATTTTCTGAAACAATGTAGAATAAGCTGTTACATTTATTCATGCTTAAATATATGTTTTTCAAATTGCAGCTTGCAAAAATGGGCCAGCTTAATGTTGAAATGGAGGTGGATATTGACAAAATTGAAAAAACTCCAGTCAAGAATTTTGTAATCAAAGGTAATTCTGAATGTTTCAGATAGTGAAAGTTGTCATGTTACCTGAGAATCCCATTAATTTGTTTAAAGGGGAGATGTTGTTTTGCTCGCTACCTGTGTTATTGGTATCATATACTGACTAAGCTCTCCTTTTCTCAGGTTCACCCACTGTAAACTCTTTCATAGTCTAGTTCCGTGAATTGAGTTTTAGGTGCACATGAGTTTTACAGACCTGGCTTATTTGTATCCAGACTGTTGGTTTTGGGCCTGTCAGGTAGAGATGCACAACTTCAAAGGAAACACCCCTAATTAGTCACCTTTTACTACACTTGTGTTAGGAGGCAATGGGTCTCCTCTTTCATTTCAAAATGGGCCCCGAGAATCCACACATGGCTTTTGATTCTGTTAATATGTGATATAGTAGAGAAGTTGCTTCATTTGGGTTGTTGAGTTCATTCGTTATTTAAGAAATAGTATATATTATCTATATTCTCTTCGTGTCACTGTTGGCACATAAGGTATTCACAAGTGATCTCCACTGCTGTTTTCTGCCTGTGTCATTTTGTATTCCTTAATTTCCCTCTCTACTGTCCTTGTCCAGGTTTCTTTGGGTCATCTGAGTCTTCCCTTTCTATTTGCCATCCATCTAAAAGCTGACTTTGCAAGAGTATCATGGGGCATTCTCAATCTTCTTTCTTTGAAAATGTTTACCAGTGATGTTTTCCTCCTCAGTTTCTCATTTTTGATCAAAATATTCACAGGGCTCTGACCAGGAAATGATACTAATATAATTGGTTCTTGAGATCCTTATCGGGGTAGGGATTTAAAAAACAACTTCACTTTGACTCAGACTGGAAATATTTTGATTAGTAAAGTCGACCACTCACTATTGGATACATTTTTAGTGCTGATTGATTTGTAAAAACATGGTCTAACACTATATAACTATAAGTCTCAAAGCAAGAAGGATCCTAATTTTGTCTCCAGTGCTCTGTTGCACCTTCTGCTTTGTTGCCACTCAGAATAGTTGTTGTCAGGAGCAGAATCCTGTTGCTGTCAATGCAGTGTTTATCAGTGACAGTTCAGGTGTGCTGATCTACAGTCAGGGCTGTGGTTGCAGGACACAAAAGTGCATGGACATTTATGGCACGCTCTGTAGGTAGAATAAGTCCAGGAAGCCAGCTCTGCCTTCTCTACTATTTACTATTAGCAGTGTGGTAATTACGGTGACACAAGCTCTTATGTGGCTGAAATCACTGTGCTATTTTTGTGCATGCTGAAGTGATTTTATGAGCATGATTCAGTGGGTTGAGGCAGTAGAGTCATTGCAAAACTGCCTTCATCTTTGTCCCTGAGAATGCAGGTGTTGTTGGCAGTAAAAGAGCTGATAGACTTGTTTTGCCTTAGTTAGTTGCTTATGGATCACACCAACATTGTTAATGCCCTTAGAGAGATAGGGTGTTGAAACGATTTTTGGAGCAGGGCATCACCTTTGGACTTTTGTAGAGTGCCCTGAAGATAACTCAGCTCATGATCTTATTTTAAAAATTGTTTCTTTGCAGTGAAACTACTTTCATGTTGTTGCCACAGGAGGTCAAGTGTGTTGTGTGTCAGCAAGTGAAATATACGATATAAGTAGAGAGAGTTAATTGTATGTCCGGGCATAGAAATTGTTTGCCATACGATTAGTTTTTTTGTTTGAAGATGTTTTTTAGTTAAATTAATTTAGCATAGGTGACATAAAGTTGATATTTGTTTGTGATCAAGAGCAGCATTGTTGGTCATATTCCTGTACATCACATAAACACATTTTCTAATATTTCTTCATTTTTAAAATTTGATGGAACTGAAATACTTTGGCCCTTCCAAACACCACTGTGGTTTGGAAAGAACAGTACAGAAAATATTGTACTGGAATGACGTCAAGAAATGTACAGGACTAAGTTATACACTTATTCATCAAGTGGAAGACATAGAAAGATGCGGGTTTTGTGTGCTAGTGCTTCCACCGATACACCTCCACACGACCCTAACGGATGAAGGGTTATGTTTTGTACTGGGTAAGATGGGCAGGGACTGACCAGCACAGGACATAAGAGACTCCTTAGTCAGAAAAGTGCAGGAGAGCTGGAGGCGATCGAGTTTCTTTCATGCATGCTGTGATAGGAGCAACATTTGTACAGTACCTGCTAGATGATAATGATGAATATATTTTTTATTAATCACATTCAAGTTTTACTGTATTGAAATTGAAATAAAATCGTTTGCATATTAATTTCAGATTTAGAAGAAAAGGCGAGTCTGCCTGGTCGTAAAAAGATGAGCATGTCCGACGAAGATGCCGGATTCTGTGTTTACATGATGGATAAATATGGAGAAGACTTTAAGGTGTGTTAGTGAATTATGAGGCTGCATAATTGATTTTTGTGTTTGTATGTTTTGTTGATGAAGGAAGTTTCTTGTTTTATGCTTGGAGGATGAAGTTCATTTATAGTTTTTCCTTCTATTTTCCTACCTTGGATCTTAGATGCACCTTGTGGTCCACTTTTTGTTCTGGCTTTTTGCCCTGAATCAATTTGCAGAACCATACAAGTGAGATATCTCACTCTGAACAGTCTGCTCTGGTCATACCCTGAATCATCACTGTAAGTTACGTGAAAACTACCTTTCCTTCTTCTTAGCCTTTCCCGGTTGTAAACTCCAGTGGAAAGTCCTGGTTTTTCATCATCATCTGGACTTGAGTCTTGTTCCAGAACTTGAGTTCTGCATGCGGATTTGGCCTATTTGTATGCAGACTTAGTTCCGCGCCTCTCTGCAATTGCACGCCGACATCTATAGAAACACCTCTAGCTAGTCGCCTTTTTAAAAAATTTTGCTTGCTTGTTTTTTTTCTTGCCTCTCAGTCAGATGCACCTGACTATGAAGGAAGAGAAAGATGCTACCACTTGTGCAGCGTGATATAGTTTAAAATATGTGCTGTCTCCATTTAAAGAAATAAAAAAAATATGAGGTGAGGTGTCTTTCATGGCAAGCCTCTCATATTCAGTATCTTCTAAGCCAATGTTCTTCAGCTTGTAGTCCACAGACATATCCTAATCATCATCATTATCCTGTTGTGCCATTATTATTATATGTCACATAAGGCTTGCAGTCTGTTCCTCCAATGCTTCCTGTCCTGTGCAACAATTCCTTTGATATCGTGAATGGAATCCCGACCACTGCCTTTGGCTTGTCTCATCAGCATTCCTATTGGGGTTTCTTTTGGACATCCTTGCTTCTTCAGTACCTTTATTTCCTACTTTAGTGCCTGTTTGGTGATTTTATGATAATTTCTTCTCAAGATGTTTCTAGTATGACACCATCTTCCTTGTCTTTGTTGCTCCTAGTGGTTGCCCATCATTTTTCATTAATTCTTTACCCCTCTTAAATTCATCCCATTTTTTCCCCCGAAATGTTCTTTAGGCACTTGTTTACAAATGCATTTAACTTTTTTCTATGTCTTTAGTGGTTCTCTAACATTCACTGAGATATGTTAAATTTGAAACAATATTATAATATAAATACATGTCCTGGTGTATCGATGGAAGCATAGCGCATAAAAACCACTATGTTTCTCTGTACACTTATTTATCAAGCGTGGCGCGGTGATTTATGTCACAGGCGTGAGGGGAAGTTAAGTCCAACATGATGTGTATAAGGAGATACTCCGTACGTCACTCGGGCGCCAGTCCTTTACTATCCTGGTTGTACGGAACCTCACGCAAGACCCCTACAGCACGTCCTCGTCGTGCGCCACGGATAATGTCTCAAATGAGCATTAACAGAGCTGTCAGGGGATTTTGGAGTTTGGCGGCCCCCAGAGGTGATGAGTCCTTGTGGCTCTCATCAGCCCGCCCCCAAACGCTTGGGTGAAAATGTTATCAAAACTCATTAGGAACATGAGTAGGTTCGACAAAAGTACAGCTAAAATCACAACCCTTGGTTAAAAGACTGCTGAGTAAAGAGAACATTGCTCAATGCTCATCCTCGGTTAATTCTCAGTGTCGTCGTCACCGCGCTGAGGTGCACCACAACAGAAACCATACATGGGCTGGCCATCCTTGTGCATCCTCGGTTGGCCCTCAGTGTCGTCGTCACCGCGCTGAGGTGCACCACAACAGCAACCATCCATAGGCTGGCCAGTCATGTACATCCTCGGTTAACCCTCAGTGTCGTCATCACCGCGCTGTGGTACACCACAACAGCAACCATCCATCGGATGGCTAAGCCTAAATGTCCGACAAAACTAGATCATACGGATCAAAATCTGACCATCAAAATTTGCACTGAAATGCAAAAGGCCGAATGTCCACACCCAAAGACCCCACTCGCCCGAGTGTTGGGACAAAACTGATAACGATATGCCTGATTCAGGATGTGAAATTCTGCCAAGCAAATGTACCTATCTGTGTGGTCACAAAAGTCCAAAACCAACGGGCTGCTCCCCGCTTACTTCCAGAGGGCGCAGCCCCTGTCGAGCGGGAGGCCTGATACGGTTGTGAGGTTAAGCAGGCATGTGCAGGACGTGACGATTCCTTGGGTGAGCCCAGAACCAGAGCGCCATGTGCTGGCTCTGCATGCATGGAAGCCTCCTTGGATGGCGGGGAATGCCCATGATCTGCCCCTGCCTTCCCTTGAGGGCCAACTGTTCCACAGGGGGTTGCCCCAAAGGGGTACTCCGGGGGCAATACCTGCGGCGAAGGAGACAAGGCGGACACTACACAAATCAGGCAGTCTCGACCCACACAAAACAATGGCCACAGTCACCCTAGAAATAGGCCTGACGTCTTCCTTCGAAGTCGGCGTACAGCTGCCCAAGAGGCAGGGAAATAAAAAACGGTTGTACACGCAAAAATCAGGTCCAGGTGAAGGCCAAAAGTCCAAGCGGACGATTAACCGGGACCTTCCACTGGAATTCACAGCCGGTGTTCGATGAAATGAAAAAAAAAAAAAAGATTATCAAGCGGAAGACAGAAAGGTGGCGGGTTTCATGTGCTAGTGCTTCCATCAATTCACTCATGACTGATGGGTCAAGAGGTATGTTATACATTGTGGTTTCCCAAAGTATCTGCTTACTCGTGTTGCAGCTGCATGATTTTGGCACTACACTGAAGCATTGATTTTCTAACTCATTAAATTTAATTAACTTAAATTTGTTTTAGCAAAGCATCAGCTGTCACATAGGATGAAAATTATAATATTTAATAAATAAAATTCTGTCTGTGTTTTGTTTTCACTGTCATGTGGTTCTTGAAACAGTTTCCCTTGATTAGCCGATCCACCGAGGTTAAAAATAAAAAGCTGGATAACGCTGCTCTTAGCCACAAGGTCGCACACATAATCAATAGAAAACTGCTGCAGCACTGCAGTGAATAGATCACCCTTTGCCTGGTGGTCATAAGGTTGAATCGTCAATGCAAATTTGACACACAAAAATAACATGGGTTTGGTCTACCCTAAAATAAGTATCAGGAAATCCTATGGAGTAAATGTGACATATTTACTACATGCCTGCTCAATCCTGGTTGGTCTATAAATTATAAGGGCTAGCACTGTATACCCAGAAAGCCAAGCAACTTTCAAATGGGACCTTGATTTTCACAAAGCCATATACACATTCATTGTACTAGACACATTGATGATAAATATTGTTTTCTTGCAGGCAATGGCACGAGATGATCGCAACTACTATCAGGAAACTCCTAAACAAATTCAGCGCAAGATAAACCGCTTCAAGAGTATTCCAGAAATGTACAGCGTTTACGCCGATGCAAGGCAAGGTGAGGCAACTCGCATGGCCTAAAAAGCAAGTTGTCGGAACTTGCTGTTCCTGCGAGCTGTATATAAAGTCCGCTTGGGTGAAGAGTGTTGGGGGGGGGGGGGGTTGACTTAGTTTTACAAACCAGAGAAACAATGTTTAATTTACTGAGTGAGGAGACACTAAATCTGTCAATAACAAATATCCTACTATGTTTCTTGGTCATATAAAGCAATGTTGATTTTTCTTCTTGCTGTTATCTGTCACAGTATATGTTTTATTAACTCCTTCAGTACCAGCAAATAATAACTTTAACTCCTTATGCCATGAGATATTCAACATTAAACTAGCCAGTGAATTGGTCTAAAGAAGTTATAATGATATCACTGTGGGCAGAGAGTGTAAAATCGACAATAATTAAGTTCAGTTAGTTAATATAACATCTATCTGCGAGAAGAGCAGAATCCGAACCGTGCACTGCCTTTAGTCTAATGAATGAATGTGTGGTGCATTCCACGAGATTAAAAGAGTTAACTCTTTGTATCTGAATTATTAATTTGAATTCTATCCTATTATATCTTTGTTAAGGGGTCACTACACAGCATTTTTTTCTAATTTATGACAAAAACATCACTTTTTCAATGTGTTCATTTTTGTAATGTTCCGCATTCGTAGAATAGATTACACACAAAATTTTTGTCATTGGTAAACAGTTTAGCATTGAAAAGTTAATACTAAAGACACCATCCCATGCACTTTTTGAGGATAAAAAAAAAGTTTAAAAGTCACTTTTCTAACAATTCAATTTTTCTGTTTGTTGTGTATGAGATCTCCTAAAATCTCAGCTAATATAAAGACTAGAGACGTGAAATTTGGTGTGGATACTCCCAACACAATATTATAGGGTCAGGTCTATTTGAAATTAGTTTATTATATAATTTATTTTTAAAATTTGATTATTTTAAGAAGCTACATTTTTTTGTTTTTTCAACATACCTAAATTTTAATATTCTACAAAAATATTTAGAAACATCTTTGAAGTAAATAAACTAGACCTGACCCTAAACATGGGTTTAAAGTTCATGAATTGATCATCTGTTTCTCAATACCTCTGTTTGTTTTTGAAATTTTAGCTGTCTAAGTACATGTTGTTTTTTCATCAAGATGGCGGCTGTTGCCATGGCAACCATGTTTTTTTTAAACTTGAAGTTACAAATGTATCAACATACATAACTACAAATGACCATTATAAAATAATTGGTCTAACATTGTAAGTAAAAATAAATGTTTCCTGTAGTGACCCCTTAAACCCTTTAAATTCAAGTATTTATAAATTTTAGGCTGTTTGTGGCAAATAGGGTTAAAGTGACACATGCTCTGGACTTAAACAGTTAACTACTAAGCTAATCTGCGGGATTGTGTTTTGGTTCTCTTATTATAATTGTTATCTGAACTTACAGAAGTTTGATGAATGGATGTTTCACGTGTGTGTGTGGTAGTGAACTGCAAGTTGCTTTTACACAGTGTAAAATATTCAACAAAGTATTTAATCCTTGAGTTGGTCATCTTGCTTCCTGATAATTTCATTTCACAGATGTCTCTTGTGTCCCTCTCTTTAATTCTACATCTGTCTCTCTGCTTTATAGTTTCATTAGCCTCTTCCCCATTGACCCCGGTCTCTGTTTTTGTTGTTGTTATTGCACCTGAACACTCTTTGTTTGCATTTCTTCATGTCTTAGAATGTTGACAGTCCTTGATTGCTTTTGAATTATTTCAAGAAATTGTTTCTCTTTTGTATTGTCCAGATTTAATTTTTTTTTTAAATTAAATAAACCTGCATATTTTCCAGAACTTTAGGCTATATTTCAATCTGAAATATATATATATAGAGAGGATTCTTTTCCATTTTTCTAGGTTGCATATTCTTTGAAGTCATTATAGTTTTTTTTTCCTCGATGGAATCTTGCTCGTGTGGAAAAGTGTTGATGATTTTCCTAAGGTGTGTCACTTACTCTTAAATGTAATTTCTTCTGCGTACATCATTTCAAAGGCAGGGAGGGCTGGATCTACATGTTGTATTCTGGTTTACACATGGCTGTGATACCTGTGCCTTTGATGCAGCACATCTGATTTCAACAAACCCCTAATTAATCACCGTTGGGCGGGGGGTGTCAGATAACTGAAATGGGAAATGCAATGTTTTAGTTTTTTTAGTGATAGATTCTCGGGGGGGGGGGGGGGGGGGGGGTGTAGATGTAGTAAAAGGCAACTGCTTACAGATAAGCCAAATTTGTAAATGCAGATCTCATATTCTGAAACTAGAGCTAAGTTCTGAAGTGGACAAAGAGCCAGAACTTTCCACCTGGGTTTACAGCCAGAGATACGACACAGTAATATATTATCACTGTTTTGCATTGTTTGTAGGTCATCTGAAATGTTTTATGTTGATTGAGTGTGAGTTCTTGAAGATATGTATTTACTAGTGTCATGAATATTCATAAAAGTTATGATCAGAATTTATTTCCATGAACTGAAACCTTATTAAAGGAATGGTTTTCCCAGAATAATTTGTGTTTGTTTTGTTGTATTCTTTAATTGTTGAAATTTATCGTGTAATTAAGGAATCATGCCTTCTTGACATGTGCATATCTGAACCTAAAACATCCTAATTAAGCTTTGCTTTTGTTAATATGGGGTTTAGAAAACTTTCATAAATTGTTGTGCTGAATTATTGTTATGAATGAAGAATGAGAAAATCCTGATAATGTAAAATACTAAGTTAAAATTGTTTCAGACAAGTATATACAAGATTGCTCTTTCTTTGTGAAACAATTTAAACAGCTCTTTTGCATTTATCGAACACAGTTCTTACTCACAACCATTTGCTACTTAAAATAATGCAAATTGGTGGTTGCTTATTGTATCACAAACAGTTTTAAACATATCAGTGCTAAATACCATAAGCATTTGTTACATTAGATATGTTTGCATATGGACACATATGAAGAAACAGTTACATTGACTGATTGCCCACCAACCCCAATTAAGTTTACCTTAGATCAGCAATGCAAGATGTTTTATATAAAAAAAAGAAATACAGTTAATGTAGAATACTTTGAGTTCATTATTAATATCTGTGTATATATATCAGCCGAGTAAAAAAAATGTACAAGGAAATGTGAAGGTTGTGATCAGTGAGGACTATCATCATCAGCACTGCAGACAGATCTATACTGATCAGCCCCACTCTTTGTTGAATAATGAGACATCTTGTGCCCATAGTGAAATGTTCCTGTCTGTCTCTTTCAGGTTGCTTCCTATATTCACAAACCTGGACAAGGACACAAGAGTCCATCCTATTATATACATGGCCACTCTGATATGTCAGACTTCTTACTATAGCTTGTCACTAACAAGCAAACACTGCTTACACTAATCTGAGTAACATATCAAATTTCTGTCATGTTCACTGGGGTTTATGATTTTGATGTCGACTTTTCAGATCCTCCTACAGCCTGTGGTTTTTTTAATTTTCAGCATTTAACTGAAGGAAACAGTAGAAGTGGTTTCTTCTTTTTTCATATTCACCAACTATGAATTCTGGCAGAAAGTCTTGGTTGCACGTTCACTTCTGTACTTTGGTCTTGTTCCGGAACACTAGTTTTGCATGCACTTTTCAGAAATGCCTTATTTGTATGCACTGTGGTTTTGTTTCTTGCTTCTCAGGCAAATGCACTCTTAGTTAAAAGGAAACCCCGCTAATTAGTCAGCTTTCACGACATGCTAGTCAGGGGACATTAGGTCTATTCTTTTTCACCCAAAAATAGGGTTCTGAAACTCACTCGAATAGAAGTGTGGTTTAAAAGACACAGAGGGTAACAGTCAACATGTTTTCTTTCCCCAGAGCAGCTGGTTGTGAGAGTAATAAGGGAAGTAAAGGATGTAGAGTACTTGGCCTATTTTTTTTTTAAAGATGGATTGGTACTTGATGGGAAATGTGGTCAACATAACGCAGCTGGCTTTATTTCTTGGGACTTTACCTGAAACCCATTTAGAACTGGAAACCAAAGCCACTTTCTGCTAGAGTGAGAGCATTGTAAAACAATAAATTCAAACTTCGCAGCTCCAGCAGTGCCTGCCACCAGAAATCTCTGAACTACCAGAAGTTTTAAGTAAACGTTGCTTAGTTCCATGTCCTCTAGTATATACATGCACACCTATACACTTGTATGTTGCTAGTAGATATGTCCTAGTTGATCAAGATCGTTGCCAGTTGTGACAGTCTAGTTTGGTTGCTCTTTCTGTCTCTAATTTATACAAAATTTCCACCTCTTGTTTTAGTCCTAACAACTTATGTATGATTGTTACATTTCCTGGGAATCTAAGCCACCGTTTAATCTGTTCCAGTAACTCTTTTTTGTTTGTTTGTTGGTTTAAAACATTATAGTTACATAATTCTGCAGAAATCTGATTACTCAGGCGGTCACTTCTGCTGTTTTCAACCTCATTGAAAGTAGTGCACAGAATAATTTATTGTGGTTATTTCCCTTGCAGGAAATCTGTTTTGAAAATGTTCTTGGACAGAGTGGGTTTAGATAGATGGTGTGTAGTAAGACTTTGAATTGTGGCTAAGATTATATTACCACTGTTAAACCTGGATCTTTACTACAGTCAGCCAGTGGAGAATTATAGCAACAGCAATAAGATGTATTAAAAGAGCTGTCAGAAGTAACTAAAAGTCAATAAATTAAGAGAGATAAAAGTGAAGAAAATAAGAAGCTGTGACTGAAACCTTTCTACATTTAATTAATTAACAAGGGTTACATAAAATGGTTTGCCTTTCTGAAAAAGAGTAAGCTGGTTCTACCATATGGAGCCTAACTAAAGAGCAAGAAGATAATGCAAATGGTTCTATGAGGGGATTAAAAAGAACATTGTAGAACTAAAAGCTAGCTTACTAAGAACATTAAAAAGAGCATACAGAAGATCCATATGTTTTCCCCAAAAACTTAATATGGTGTATGGTAAAATAAAGGATTTCTCATTTCCATACACAAATGTAAGTGGCCCTGCCTTCTATCCTATCTCTCTCTCTCCCCCCCCCCCCCCCCCCCCCCCCCCCCCCCCACTTTCTTTCTCTGTTGCTCATATTTGAAAAAAATATACTATAAATTTATTTTATTTTAGACTAAAAAATATGCCCTCTGCTCTTTCAGCACCACAAAGTCAAGCCAGGCCACCTCTTGTGACACTCTCCCCCACCAGATACTTGACCAGGCGAACAGAAGCTTGCCTCAGAAATGGTCATTTTGTAACCCCACCATCTTCATATGCAATGGAGGTTTTTGTTCCTGATGGTATGTACATGTATTTTTTTTTTTCCAGTCACATTGTAACCTAAATCACCATCAAATGCCTTGTCAGCTGGTGTGGGTGATCATGCTTCTTCTCATCTTGCAGTCTTTCAGCACCATGAATCAGTCGCTGTGTACTGACACACTCCTTGCTGTGTCAAAAGGATGTCAAGAATCTCCTCTTATTGTCTTATGTTGTGTTGCTTTCCATAAATCTGTCCAGCTTTCACATTGAATCGCTGTCGTTGTCCATTAGTCACATGAAATCAATCAAATACACAGGTTCTGCAGAGACTGGAAATGTAAAGATAATTATTGAAAGAATGTAAAACAAGTTAACTATTTCAGCCACAGTAAAAGCATAACATTAAAAAAGCACACACTACACTGGAGGGAAAAGTCAATGGTAAAAGGAAAGTTATAATATTGCCGCGTCACAGTGTCAGACGCAATTTGTTGTTTGAAAGCCCTAACTCCGCTGTTGCCATGGGCCCTAATATAACCCAACCTTTGGGTTGAACAGGGCTTCTTGGACTTGTCCTCATCCGAATGGTGGCACTTTGTGTAACCGAGTGTATATGTGATGTCCTGGTTGCGGTTGAACGTCAGTCAGTCAACACAAGTAAGAGGACAACATCAGGAGATGGATTAACAGTAAACTGAGGGTACAACCAGGATGAGCGACAGTATTGGAGATCTGTTGTAGACAACCTTCACGGTGGAGACAGCACCTGATTTGTTGACCGTCACATTATCAGCTGCAAAGAATCTGTCTTGTCACTACTGGAAGTCATGAACAATAACTAAAGAGACAGTAAAACATTTACAGGTGGGAAGACCAATCTCATAAGACTGAATTTTATTCTGTATGGTTAGACCTCTTACCACAGAGTTTCGGCAGCATTCCGAGCATTCTCCAAGAAAATTTCATTATTTAGCTGAATGGCACAGGGTGAACAACAAACTTATGACCTTTAGGGCATAATACAAATGGCTTGACCTTTTCACCATGGAGAGATTCTAAACACATTGAATAGATAAATAGAGCAAGAGAAGTTTCTTGTTTCATTTGCACCTTAGTGTTGTCAGAGACATGATCCCACATATCAATTTTATGAACCTAATTTAGATGATAGAAAGATTAAATGTGATGCATTGTTTGTAACATGTAGAAAAACAATTTAGAAAAAAAAGATGTAATTGATCTTTTCTGATCTGAACTTTTATTTTCGGGTGATTTCAGAATTTTCTCCATGTTCTCTAATTTTAAAATTGTATTTCATATTTTCTGAATGTGCTAGTCAGTACTTGTGCTTGATTTAACCTGCCTAAAATGGTTACCAGGAAATCTCCCTGGAAGTAAAGGTGTATGAAGTGATGTTTGTTTTTCTTTTTCTTCTTGATGGTCTGTTGGAATGTCTCCCCACCATCTTCTTGGTGGTCTGTCAGAATATCTCTCCGCCATCTTCTTGGTGGTCTGTCAGAATATCTCTCCACCATCTTCTTGGTGGTCTGTTGGAATATCTCTCCACCGTCTTCTTGGTGGTCTGTCGAAATATCTCCCCACAGTCTTTTTGGTGGTCTGTCAGAATATCTCTCCACCATCTTCTTGGTGGTCTGTCAGAATATCTCTCCACCATCTTCTTGGTGGTCTGTTGGAACATCTCTCCACCGTCTTCTTTGTGGTCTGTCGAAATATCTCCCCACAGTCTTTTTGGTGGTCAGGTCAGAATATCTCTCCACCATCTTCTTGGTGGTCTGTCAGAATATCTCTCCACCATCTTCTTGGTGATCTGTTGGAATATCTCTCCACCGTCTTCTTGGTGGTCTGTCGAAATATCTCCCCACAGTCTTTTTGGTGGTTTGTCAGAATATCTCCACCGTCTTCTTGGTGGTCTGTTGGAATATCTCTCCATCGTCTTCTTGGTGGTCTGTCGGAAAATATCTCCACCGTCTTCTTGGTGGTCTGTTGGAATATCTCTCCACTTCTTGGTCTGTCTGATGGACTACTCTCATTTAGCTCTCTTGGGTCCACCGTTTTTTCCCGCTGTTGCATCTGCCATTTTCTATATGTGTCCCATAAATTTCAGTCTATTAGCCCTCATGATGGCGTGATCAGTAGGTTTAAAAAAAAAAAAGAAAATGAATCTTGAGGCTTAGATATCTGTTTAGTGACAGAATAAAGGCGGTGTTGGCCCCATGCTTAACCTCCCCCCCCCCCCTTCCAACTTGGAGGACCACCTCCAGGATGGAGGTTGAATTAAGCACCTGAATGTATATATAAAACACCTATACAACGTGGGTCTATCATTGCATGCAACATAGTTTTATCTGATATTTTTGAGTTATGACAATTGCTGTTTACAACTTTCTTTGGCTAGTATTTTTTCCAGTGGTCACACGTGTTAGAGATTCAGCTGGCCAGACAGACATGTGATCTCCGTCAGAAATACTTCATTTAAGTGATTTTGTTTGTTCTTGTTTATGTTTGTAATATTATTATTCATGTAGTGTGCTGATGAAGGGTCTGTAGCTGCAGCCTTTACTTGTTGTTTGTGAAGTCTTTACTAATATATTAAGCGTCTTGTCAGAGAGTTTACCAGTTTTTTTATATGAATAATGCTGTTCTGTATTTCAGCTGCAATTTGTCGCGTGAGGAGGCGTTTACAATTTGGCCGCAAACCACCACGTGATAGAGAAGTTAAAAACACCTAAAGCATTGCCTTAGAGAGTTTTCTGCAGCATACTGTATGACAGCTAAGTCAGCAGTCTTACGTCTGTTATTTTTTAAAAAGTTTTTCAGAGAGAGAAGTGTTCTCAAATTGTATGCTGTTAAAATGTTTCTTTAAAAAGATTCAGAATCAAGTCGGTTAAATCATACATCATATTCTGTAGAAAAAGGAATCTACATATGCATTTTTGTTTTTCTAATTTTTTTGGAAATTGATATAAAGCATTAGAATGATTTTTGAAGAGCTTAATAGAACTGCTGTACAACTGTAAAGATTGTTAAGTCTGCCATAGTATTGTTTGGTGCAGTAGATAAGACATGATTTTTCAAACTTTATACCTGCTTTCTTTTTTTTTCTTTATTCGAAGAGGCAGATATAGTTGGTGAATAAGATTCTTGATAGTTTAAAAAAATGTTTGAATAGTCAAAATCACTTAAAGTGATACTTTCTGCTGGATGATGGGAGTTGTGGAGAAACATCATCACTGGTGCCAGCTGCCAAGGCAGTCTGCAATGATAATGACCGATCCAATGAATATGTCTGGTTTTTACAGTATAGATGTTTCAGCTAAGCCTCTTTCTTCTTTCTGTGTTAAAATAGTTTGATTTGAATTGCATTTCAAGGACCGATTTTAGTGCACATTGATAAATTCCTAATTTGTTTGGCTTCCCTCCTTAGATATACAGCAGTGAACATTGTTACACCTGTTTTTTAGACTTCTCTGTTCATGTTATCAGTATGGCAGCACCAGTAGGAATCTCACTGTGTCCAAATATCCCACGTTCTATAACACTTGAAAAGTTATGTAACTATAAATGTTGGACTTTTTGTAAAGTAGGAGCTAGCACATTTGCTCACCAGCCTGTTGGTCATGTTCAGATGCTTTTATTTGAAATAGAGTTTTTTCCTACGAACTTGTCTTCCAGGAGCCGCCATATTGTAGCAGCTAGACGCTCTTCTGCAGATCCTAAGGTCATGACTGAGCCAGACATTTTTCAGAAATGACCCAGCCTTAAATGGGTGCCAGGTAAAGTCCTTGGAAGTACAGATGTCCTGCGTAATGTTGATCACATCAGCCCCTGAGTGCTGATTGGTCTATCAAATATAGGTCCATTCCTAAATGAAGGTGTAGAAAAGGTTTCTTTATTTTACTAAGACTTCTTCAGGTTTGTTCCACTTTAAAATGGATACCAGCAGGGCTTTTTTCTGCTGGTGTGCGGTACCGGCACCTTTTTTGTTTAAGGCATAATTTTTTTAGTGCTACGGTAGCAGACGCTTTATGGTGGATAATTGTGCCTCTTAGACACCTTTTTGGTGAGTACCGGCACCTTTTTGTCTAAAAAAAAAAAGCCCTGGGTACCAGGAAATTAACTGCTTTTAAAAATCAACTGCTATATAAAAGTAGCTGCTGTGATGTAGATTTAAAATACGAATGATTTGTAAATATGTGAGATAACCTGAGCTGTACATATTTTCTGATGCTGTTACTAATAAAGCTGTTTGAATGAGCTCTTTTTATGCCATTCTTTATCTCCTCGTTTCTTATATACATAAATTTTTTTGAGAAATTCCCTATTTTTATAGCAGTAATGGAGAAATGTTTAATGACTGCAAGTAACTTGCAATACTAAATTAGAATTTGTGTGTCTAAAAGTAACAGTCTTACTTTTGCCACACATGTTAGTATTTTCCTTATTCTTCTGCATTACTGGAGATGTGCTGTTCATTCTTGTAGGCAGCTAGCAACTTTGCGAGAGTGAGAGACATAAGGGATAAAACCTGGTGCTTTAGGTTGTTCCTGTCATCTTTAAAATAATCTTTTTATAGAAGCAGTTGATTCTTATGACTTTATTCTCTATAAGTTAACAAACAGAATCTGCAGATGCTTCTTTCAGTTTTCTCTCATCTTTAATACTTTTATTATAGAAACAGGTGAATTTGAACTTAATTTTCTACAAGTTAACACAAAGGATCTGCAAGATGCTTCTTCCAATTTCTTTCCTGTTATCTTGATTCTTCATATAGTTGGAACTCCAGTTAACTTCTTTTTGTGCACTAAAACCACTAGTATTTGTTTTTAATTTAATGTCGTCTCTTACTGTTTCCTGAATGTCCCAAGTTTCCATACTTTGTGTCTGCTAATGCCTTTCATATTTCTAAATTGTTTTTCCAGGAATCGCCGCTTCACATTTGTGTGTGCTGAAACCTCTGATATTTCTTTTTCAACTGTTTTCCAGAAGATCACCATATATGTGAATGCTTTTGATATTTCTCTCTCATTGTTTAGCAGAATGACAACTTCACAACATGAAAACTGTGTCATCTGAAGATTTTATCCAGTTTAGTGAATATTTTACTCCATTTCTCTGATCTAGCTTTTCAATCAGCCATTAAATGTATTATTGATTTTAATTATGTTATTAATTTGTCCATTGAATTCCACAACATACAGGGCATTCAATTATGAAAAGATAAAAGATTGAACCGGAGTATGTCTGAAAATATAACAAAAAAGCGAACAAAACATAAAGTAGAAATTTCATCTTACCAAAACTATGATCACACTTGGCAAAATTAACATTGTGACTTGATGGCCAGAGGGCCTTCATCCGCATACAGCAATAAACTGCCAACATATTGAAGTACTTATAATGTACCAACTTTTACTGTTCTATATTTGAACCCACCTGATTTGTTCACTCTTATTTGTGCGTTTGTGTGTGATTCTTTGATTCTCTGCTGTTCCTATCTAGCAGTTTCTGCAGCACGCTTTGAAACATTTTAGTGTTACCTTTCCTGTGGAGTAAACAAGATAGGTTCATGGACAGCACATGATTTGGTGCTATGGAGATAACGGGCTGTGATTTCCATGGCTGCCTATAGCACGGTATAAATACTGTTGTCTGGAAGAATGGAAAGGTGCCAGCAACAAATATGTGGGTTCTTTTACAATCTCCTACCCAAGAGGACGTCACAGGACAGTCCAACATTTTAGAGGATGGTAGACTGGCTTTACCGGCTTTCTGATGCAACCCACCTCCGTCCCACCAGAGAGTGCAGCCTATGTCCCATGACTGCATGCAGTCTATCTACCATACCATCCCCTGAAATATTAGACTGTCCCGTGACCTATGGATTTCCCCTGTTTGGGGTAGGATATTGAGAAATCACTAATGTGTATATTTTATTCCATACTAGCTGTACCCGGCTACGCGTTGCTGTGGCATAGTTTGGCTAAATGGAAAAGAAAAAAAATAGAAATCCCACGTGTCTAATATGGTTACTGCCCCAATCATTGTCTGCACAGATATAGATAGTCTTTGATCCCCACCCTCCCACGCCCACCACCACTAAATCCACCTACTACTCTCTCCCTCATCAAAGGTTTTTGGAAAAGAAAGACAATAGAAATCGCACATGTCTAATATAGTTAATGTCGCAATCATTCTCTGCACAGATATAGAGATAGTCCAGTTTTCCAACTTTAGAACATGCACTATATAATTGTATCTTTATATTAGTGGTCGTTTAAGTGTGTTATTAGCACAGTAACAAAAATGGTTATTTGGTTATAACATGCTAAAGCTGTTTGTATTTTTATAGGAGACGGAAATAAAGCTAATAATGTACTTGTAAATAACAAAGTAAGTCGTAAAAGCGGAGGTGGCGTTAGTAAAATATAAACAAATTAAGTAACGAGAATTTTAAAATCATGTGTTAAGCTATTTAAGTTAACAATTTCAGTCATTACTCCCTCCCCTCCCTCCATCCACTGACTACTGCTCTCTCCCTCTTTGAAGGATTTGAAAATCATCACCTGGCGATATTTTTATTTTAACTGACACTGACATCCCTGTCCATCCGGACTAAAATGGGGAGCAGGAATTGTAATAGGTAGTAAATGGGGCTAGTGTAATATTTACCACATCATCCTTCAAGTACCAGTAAAACTACTACCACGACCACCACCACAATAGCTAAAATAAAGTCACTGCTATCTGTTTTACCATGGGAGTAGACAGGGAGTTGTGAGCCAGAAGATTTAGCGCTTCATGGCTAGTGCTGTCGCCAAGGACTGGTCAGGTTAGGATGTATAATTTCGCTCCCCGGCAGAAGAATGGCATAACCTTACCGGTGGTCTTTGCATGAGAGCACTATGGTGTAATCGCCCAACCACAACTACTACTGCTGCTGCTACTTTGAGTGGGTAAGGCAGTTACTGTGACTTAAAGCTCTCTCAGTAAACAGTTTGCCCCCCCCCCCCCCCCCCCCCCCCCCCCCCCAATTCACTGACTGCTCTTTCCCTCATCGAAGTAGTTGGGAGAAAAAAAAACACCAATTGAAAAGCAATGAAAACAGGAAAAATATCCCATGATTAGGAAATGAACGCTATAGTAAACAGCACAGCTTAAAATTCCAACGCAGATGAAATGATTAAATCTAAATGAAAATAAATGGAAAGCAGTGAAATTTCAGCGTAACCATGCAATCGGAAAATTAAAAATGAAATCATAAGTATGCAAAATGGTCAAATTTAATTATCAACTGGTTTACCCGTACACCTGTCCTTTTTTTTTTTTTAGTATTAAGGGCTACATGGCTAGTGCTGTCGCCACGACAGTGCAGGTGAGGATTTTATTTTGCCCCTGGGTAAAAAAAAAATACTGCGGATTCTAACTCTGATCTCCCGCACAGGAGCCCATGGTTCTAACCCTTAAACCAAGCAACCACTCTATCGGGGTAGCGAAAAGAGAACAAAACTATTTGACATGTGTGTCCCTACTACTGTGTCCCGATTATAACACAACTCAAAACCACAGGCAGTTGTTTTCTCATAGACAGATATTCCAGATATATTATTGAATCGGCACAACAATAGAAATCGTACGTGCCTAACAAGGTTAATGTCGCAATCATTATATCCCTTCCAATCCATCGGCTACTCTCATCGAAGGTTGTTTGAAAAGACAGAAAATAGAAATT